TTCAAAGTTGCGAGGGCACGCCACTACACAGCGTCTTTGGTCCACAGAATAGCCCTTTGAAGCAGTTGACTTTTTTTTGATTTATTAAATTTGTATTATTGTATTGAGATTGTATTTTGTTCTGTTTCAATAAATACTATTATTATAACTTAAATTAAGAAAAAAATAGTTAACATGCTGGCCAAAGGGCTATCGACCGAGATCTATATTGCTTGAATAGGAAAAATCCTTAATTTTTGAACCTCCATAAGCAGTGCACTTCGGCGCCGCAAAAGCAGATAATACAGAAAATTAGAGAACTCATCCCTAAGAATTATTCGAGTCACCTGCATCCAGTACATCATCTATAGCAGAACAATAGACAAAGTAATAAGAATCACAATAGTCTTGGTACTGGCAGACTTACTAAACCTAATATTGATATCAAAGATTCCAATTATAAATCCCGCAAATGTATACCGAAGACGCAAAAGGACATCAAACGATCACCCCTGAGATTCAAATATGAGTGTCAAGTGTCAATCTGAGTGTTCTGGAGAAGGTACACGCTAAGGGTCGCTGCATTCCGTATGCAGGGAGAGCCAAACTACGGCTTCAAGAGATGCAACTCCATTCAACATTGTACTCGCATCATAATTTCTGCTGGGTTTGCCTAAAAAATAAAATGTTAGTTTCTCTCAGTGGTTAAGATGGAAATTAATAGTTAAACCATATTATCACAACAACTAGCACTCCAAATATTATCCAGACACTAAGAATCATGGGTGAGATAAAAATTTTCAATTTATATTTACCCCTATCTTTACTGCGCATTACACTCAGTTTGACACTTTCATTTTCGATCTCAGGAGTAAACGTTTGGAATCTTTGATATCAATATTCCGTTTAATAACTCTGCCAGAAAAAAGTCTATTGTGATGACTTTTCTAATTCTTATGGGTGACTTTTCTAATTTTCTGTACCATCTGTTTTTGCGGCGCTGAAGTGTATTGCTCAAGAATGGTGATTCTGAAAATTAAGGAAATTAAAACAACGCCTGGCTACATATTTTATAAGAACCTCTTATTTTGATTGTTATCATCTGCTGTTTCGTCCTCACTTGGAACTATACTGTAGTTTCTAAAAGGAAAAGGGTTGATGATGATGAGATCAACCTTTTTGGTTGAGGCACTCTCCTGTCCTCCAACTTCTCTTTTCCATATATTACTAAGCATCACTTCTTCATGATCATCATCACTGGTTGCATTGTAATATTCTGATTGGATTGTTGTCGACTTCTTGATAGTCTTGGCCACTTGAATTTAAAATGATGTTAAAATACCACCTTCAACTGAAAAAATATTGTAATTGTTGTCAAATGAACTTTGAAAAAGTAATTAGTTGAAAAGGTCTCTAGTATAGTCGGACACCAAAATATAGCTATAAATTCGGTTATAAAACAAAAACGGGTATAAATCAAACATTCCTCAATCACCAATCCTTAATCAACCAACCAATAGAATCATCTGAATCATTTGCTTTCCGTTCAATCCCTGCCTCTTCTCATTTCATTTTGTTGCCTCATCAATTCAGTCTGTCTCAACTTTCTTATTTTTCTTAGTTTATATAAATCATTCAACACTAAATTAGTGGGGACACCAACACCTTTTCCATCTATCATACATTCTACTATCCCAGTCATACTCCTTTCAATCTCATATATTGGGCAGTCGATAAGCATGTGCCACACATACAATACCTCTATGCTAGATCATGTTCTTCATAGCATACCACATATCCTGCCACTCCTTAATCATAGCATTCATGATGGTAATCCTAACCTTCCTAGCTGTTTGAGTGCTTGCTTGAAGCCAGTTAATCTATATACATCGTGAAGCTCATGACTGTCCCAATTCCAATGCTGAGGTATTTAACCTCTCTATGCATGAACAAGGACTTTTCATAGACCCTGAAAGCAGGTGGCCGGTCGCCTAGGCACATAAAGCAAGTTCAGACTTGCTAGGAGAAAGCTTAACACCCACCTGACCTGCCCAATCCAGAATCCACTATATCAGCCTCTGTTTTCTTGGCATACCTTCCACCAACAGGGCCAGGTCATATGCAATCATATGATACCAACTTCCTGAAATCTTTATGCACATCCAGCATAGTGTTCCACATAAACGGCCCACAAAATGAATCCTGCACACATCCTCTACTGATGCTCTTCTTCACTGTGAACTCTGACAACGACACTCCTATCAGTCGGATTGTGGGACCACATAGTCTACAGGCTACATCGTTTCTCTCCCAACATTTCTAGCAGTCAACCCATCTTAGATGAACAAATGCCCCTTTGAAGTCAATGGACTTATCTAACTCACACAAAGCTGTTTCAGTGGATTTGCCTTTCAGGAATCCCAGGAATTATTTGTCCACTGTACCATCAGTCTCTCTAATATTTTGTCCATGACTGGAAGTAAGCATACCAGCCTGAATGATCCCACCTCAGACTGTGGTTTGCTACTGGTTTTCTGAAGAATTATACCACTTGCTGTACAATTCATAGCTTCCTCAATATCTTCCATTAGAGTTCTGTGTTTTCATCTGCTCTTATAATCGACAACTTTTTCGTACCTTATTTACCAATGCTATTTTAGTCGCGTAGTAACCGCCCCTTTGCCGAGTTTTTCTACGCCGTACGTCTGATTGTGCAAAGAGTGTACCTGATTCCTAAGCTGTGGACCACGCTACGCAACCGTTAGTTGTACGTAATTAATTACTCAATCAATCTTAACACTTTTATTAGTAGCGTCGACCTCCACGTCTGTATACACTACTTCATGGATTCACGTAATCTCACTATATTTATCAACTACCACCAACTCCATACTCTATGGCTGCACACTGTAATCACCGTTGCTGCGTACTGCTTGTACGTTCGTTCACCCAGGGGCACCAAGTCATATGAGAAATCTGTTGTATAGCAAAAGCACATAACGCGGCGCCACAAGTACCAACAAATATAAAAGCGCCAAATAATTTGAAATTTAAAATAATAAAAAAAATTTATTGTTTTAACGTTTTCGCACTATTTATATTTGTATCCGCGACTGCTTGA